GATAGTATAATTCGCTCACTTCGTTTTATTTCGTCTGACGACGGGTTGCCATCACCAGCTAACATATTTACGAGTATAAGCAGCCTTTTACGAGGAACTTCTGCATTTTGAAAATTACATCATTCCGAATGCATTGCAATTTTGATCTACATATATGTGTATGCAGAACGACATAACGGCCAAAGACGAGGGAGTCCACAATGGCCATTTTTGGTCTATTAGCCAGCCATACCAACTCCTTGTGTGCATCTCCGAGGCTCGACATCGATACAAGTTGGCAAGTGGTTAAACGATCTTAGCATTGCATTTGTCTGCAAAAAGTCGAATCCCTTTATTGGGTTTGCGTATTGACGACACTGTGGCAGTTCATGATCAGTACCGCTGCGCTTTCTCAACCTACCTTCGCCTTTAAGCCTTGCGTGCTCGCACGTAAAGGTCTCCGGCCCACGCTGCAAGTCGATCTGCTGCAGGGCCGCTTGCGTTGTCCTATTGCCCCTCTCACACCCTCGGTCTGTTTGAATCAAATCAGCGTGTACCAATTCACTGGTTAGCTGTAGGCGACATGCCCCAGGGCCCTGTCATCCCATCCAACACAACAACAACTGCTCTGAGGAAACTCACACAAATGACCAAAAAGCTGAAGAAAATGCACGGTTTTGCCAAATCACAACATGCCGCACTCTCAACTTGTACCCTCCCCCAGTGCTTTCACTCTCACATCCGAAGGTTGAATTAACGCAATTTGGACAACCTTTAGCTTCCCTTCAACAGTCGATTACCTTTTTATCACGGTGCCCGTCGAAAGCATTTGCGTGCCATCCTCATCTCCTCTCACCTTAACCACCATCTGCATCTATCAAATCAGCGTCTATGTCAAAGGCCGTCGCTGCACTTCTCCCTGCTCCTTCATATCCTATTGAAGTAAAAGGGTGAAACCTCTCCATCCTATTATCAATACCACTAAGCTTACTGGCATCTTGAGCCACGATCATACCTCCTACGTCTGAGACCCCCTGAGTGACAGATGTTTCTTGATTTATACTGGCGCAAAACTGAGTCTAATTCCTCTCTCAGTAGGAGACCGTCGGCGACCAAACCCCGGCATTTTCCTTCAAACCGTTAACACCTCGCAAACTGTCATCATTATTGCCTGCGTCCCCGTCAACACCTCGTCTATCGCCACCCTCAGTACTTGCTTCTTCTTACTGGACATCGGCTTCGGGCGTGTCTTTCCTAGGGTCTTTGTCGTTGCTGACGTGTACGCACCATTCTCGGTGCAGACCTTTTCGCCGCTTTCGATCTTATGGTCGACTGCTGTCATGTATGCCTTAAAGAGCAGAACACCAAGCTGAATATCCGAGGTTTCCACACCTCTGAGAT